AAGGGAACGCGAGTCAACAGCGACGCCAACGTTTATATCGGGATCTGTTTTTCCCGCCTGCTTTCCTCTCCCCGGGCTGCGAGTTTAATTGCTTTTCTCTAGTCTTGCCTTCTAATTAAGCCTTCAACCTTCCACGACGAGCGCGAGGAACTAGCCGAATGCATAATGCATTTCAGGGGACCGATGTCGGGTCCTTTCTTCCTGTCTCCTTTGAATCCCTCACCGCGATTTGCCTTCATCCCACGGTTCCGTCCCGCGAGTCCCGGCTAATGGCCGAAGTTGGCCGTCGTCGTCGTTCCGACGTAGTGCATCTTCGATTGAATTATTATTAATGCTGCGCCATGCTGCCCTTCGCTGCGAGGCCGACAACAGTAGGCGAAACTTGCGCTTCCAAAGAGAGACACAAATAATCGATCGAAGTAACAACTTGTGATTCAACCGTCGAGTTTTTCCGCCGCGACTTTCTTAGGCGCATCCTGGCCCAAGATTATAGTAATTAATCCGCCGAATGGCTTTCTCCTCGTTAAAAAACTTACTTCGACGCAATTAATGTGACTTTAACGGACGAGCTTAGTGAAAAGAGGAGAAACTTCCACTCGCAAGAGCGCGAAGATCAGTGAATTAGTGCAAAATTTGCGCATAAATTGATTATTTACGTTGTTCCTTATTGTGTAAAAATACTTGTGGAAAAATCAAAAGCTCGAAAAATCGAAAGATTGTGGTAAAAAGAAAAATTGAATACCGCGAGATAAATCTTTCCGAATTCACTTAACAATACGAATATCTCTATCGCGATGTAATGTCATTTGTAAATTACTGTTATCTTTGGCGCACGAATGCTGCGTATCGTCGGTGGGTGTCCCCCAGATTTATCGCCGGGGCGGCGTAACCCGCGATCAGCGGCTAAATTACAATTTAGTGTCTGTCTCGAACCGCCACAATTCACTTCGCGATACAAGCGTCTTTTCGCGGAAGCGGATTCCGAAAGCGCGAATCGAAAGATCCGTACGTGCGTCTTCTCGGTGACAAGGCGCGTCGGCTCATTCCGCTCACGTAACACGAAAGTGCCGACTACCTGGAAATCCCCTCGACTTGTTACGCGCTTCTTATGCATGCGCGATTCGTGGCCTGAATCCGCCCCGTCTTTTCCACGTAAATACAAAATTGGCGTGTCTAAACGTCAATGAAGTCGCGAGAGTTTGACGTTCAAAAACTCCTCATCCATTACTTTGCTTTTATTATTGATATTTGAATTTGAAAATTCTGGGTGGATAAAAAAATGGTTTTTTCATGTGTTTGATTTATAGAGCCATGCGTCATACATGTGGGTTCGAGTCTTGAGAAATATTGCCTGTTTGAAAAATGTTTAGTTTGTGACAAATGTGTAACCGGGCGACGCGCGGCATTTCGCAATTTCCATTTCGATCTCGCGAGATGATGGCGTCGTAACTTATTTTCCGGCAAGTTTTTCCGCGGCAAACGCGGAAAGTACTCGTCGTCGAATGTACGCCCTTTGTTATATTCTGTTTTTCTTTTCTTTTTTGGAACGTGATTGTTATACGGTGCTGCACGCAAAATTTCACGTCTTATTCGGCAGCGGGCTCACTACACCACCCAGAATAGCAGGCCGCTAACGATCCTCGACGAACGGTAATTTCTCGGCTTCGACGACGTCTTTTGTGCGTAACGGGCCGCCTCATTGCACGATAATCACATAATAGCGCAAATTGGCTCCGTCAATTAAAGCCGACACGAAGTCGACACTTTAAACTCTCCTCTTCGTGGCAGTCACGAAGAGAGGCCGAGAAAATTATTTATCTCTCGCAACTGCTCTACATATTAAATTAATGTACAATTTGTGAACTATGTTGAGAAAAAAGTTTCTATTTAAAGAAGTGGCATTGTGAAGTCGCAGGTTCGATGGACGGAAGTGGTTTCTGTCACCGTTATACCGATTTGTGTCCTCGCAGTTACGCAAAGGCGATGTGTAACGGTCGGGAAATGCGCGGGAAAAATGCGGGATCGATTTCACCGTTCGGAGCATCGACGTCGGACGCACTCCGCGAATATTCAATTTTTCGGTCTGCCGCGCCGCATGATTGCCATGCGCGCATTCTCCAAGAGGTATAAATTGCCTCGGAAGCGCCGATGCAACGTTGTATAATCAAATACGATGCACTTCCGCGGGGTTTTTCGCGTTCGATGAGACTGTTACGGCGAGGAACTTGATGGCGAAAATTACTCTTGACGTGGAAAAATCGATTTCACATTTACCGAAAGATTTGTAGCTCACAGAAAGTAACTGAATTTCTCTCTCTCTCTCTC